ATTAATTACGACTTTATTAACGTCTAACTTTTTGGTGTGTGGGTCCGGTCTTTTGTTGAAGAGGAGGTTAAATTTGGAAATCAGGTTTTCCTTACATTTGGTCGACATAGTAGCAGCTGAAGAGGCAGTCATATTGTCTACATGTTCCCAATCCGATGTGGACATTATTGCCGTCAATGATAAGTGTGATTTGTAGAGTGTCTTGTCTAACTGATCTAGTTCTGTGCATATAAGTCTGATTTTTTCAGAGATAAGAGCTAAGCTAGTTTTGAAAAGAATTCGTTTCGCATTAGAAGAAGTTACAGCAGCAGAGGTCAGTGTAAATGCGATTGGTATTACCCCAGAGTCACGGCATCTCTTCAGGAAGGTGAGAGACTCGATCAGCTGAGCTTTCTTATCCTGGAGTTTGTTGAAGGATCTTAAAGTTATGTGAAAACCCTCCCCGTAGAGGCGATTAAATTTTGATTTAAAGCTTTCGTGACTGCAGTAATTCATATTCTTAGTTTTTTCCGTAAAGTCACGTTGAAGAGAAACAACAAAATAATAAAATATATATAAAACAATAAAAATTCTCACGACGTTTCGACCATAACTCAAACGGTCATCTTCAGGTGTGTTGGTTTGCATAAATTTATTTTTAAACGGCGCATTTATTTATTTATAAAAACGTTAGCGTCACGCGCAGCGATTTGGCAGTTTACTCAGGACTAGTCCATCTATATTTTGAAAAGAGGAGGGGGGAGACGAAATTTTTTATAATGTATGCTGTCTGAAAGCCACTGTAAGCGTGAACAATCAATTAAGAACTGAAATGGTTTATCAAATCTTTCCAATGATTGCTAAGATAGAATCCATCTTCTCGGTTGAAATTGTCTCTGTGCTTGTATATGTGGATAGCCTCATGAACGAATCTCTCATGGAAGCCAGATGGCTTACAAAGAACCTCTGTCTTGGAAAAGTCAATGGCATGTGAGCCTACTGAATTAGAACAATGATCTGCTACGGCCGAGGTGTTGGTCCTACCGTGTTTAAGGTCTGCTTTGTGTTCACGAATGCGGTCCGAGACATGGCGTTTGGTTTCTCCAATGTAACTACTACCACAGAGGCAACTTAGTTTGTAGACACCAGGGTATTGTATGTCCGGAATCACATCTTTTACAGACGGAACCAGATCACGGATTTTATGTAATGTGTTGAAACGGACCTGGATCTTGTGTTTATTCAAGATTTTGGAGATCTTTTTTGTGATCCCAGCAATGTAGGGTAAAGTGATGGTTTTGAAAGGCTCCTCAAGAGGGTTCTTCTTCATGGTTTGAGTGATAGCTTTGCGGATTGTATAGTCGGAGTAACCATTAGCCCTAAGAGCTTGGTGTACGTGCTTGAGTTCACTGCTTATGTGTTCCTGGTCGGATATGCATTGGGCTCTATGATACAGAGTCTTGATGAGAGAATTCTTCTGTGATGGATGGTGGTGGGAATCCGGTTTCAGATAAGCATCCGTATGGGTAGCTTTCCTGTAGACAGAGTGGCTCATTGAACCATCAGGTCTCTTTTTAACCAGGACATCCAAAAAAGGTATCTTGCCATCTATTTCGACTTCCATGGTAAATCTGATGGCTGGGTGTATGGAATTGATGTGGTCGAAGAATTGGTCTAGAGCAGGCCGGACATGTGGCCAGATGACAAAAGTGTCATCCACGTACCTCTTCCATAAGGTTGGGTGCAGAATGGCAGTCTGGATGGCGTCAGTCTCAAATTTCTCCATGAAAATGTTAGCTATAACTGGAGAAAGGGGGGAGCCCATTGGGGTGCCCTCAGTTTGTTTGTAGAAAGTTCCATTCCAAGTGAAGTATGTATTGGTTAAACAGTGTCTCACCAGGGGGGGTACCTCAGTGTTTAGTCCTTGATGAACCAAGTCTTCAATGATTGCAATGGTGTCAGGTACAGGAACCTTGGTGAATAAGGAAATTACATCAAAACTGACAAGCAGGTCGTCTGGTGACAGGGAAATACCCTTGATTGTCGATACCAGGTGAGTAGAATTTTGTACCGCAGAGGTGGTCTTTCCAGTGAAAGGACGCAGGATTTCAGACAAAAAACGAGCTAGTTTGTAGGTGGGGGAGCTGATAGTAGAGACTATGGGACGAAGAGGTGTATCACCTTAATGTATTTTTGGTATGCCGTATAATCTTGGTGGCCTGGCAGCAGAAGGTTTCAACGAAAACTGTTTAGATTGATCAATTAATGCGGTTGAATCAGAAATTATTTTGTTGGTTTGTGTGACGAGGCTGTTGGTGGGATCTCTTTTTATTTTTGTATAACTACCATCGTCAAGTAATTCTTTAATTTTGTTGTTGTATTCTATTTTATCCATGATGACAGTAGCATTGCCTTTGTCAGCTGAGAGGACTACAATATCATTCCTCTTTTTTAATTTATATAATTAAAAACGCTCATCTTTGCTGAGGTTGCTAGCTGGCATCTTAGCGTTTTTGAGGGTTGCAGCGATTTCAGATCTTGCTACATCTGCAGCGATGAGACCCAGGCCCCTGAGAGCAACGTCTACTTGGGCAATTATATCATTAACTGGTATGTGTTTAGGTGTGACTGCAAAGTTTAGACCTTTAGCTAAAACGGATTTCAGACCATCGGAAATAGAACTGTTACTGCGATTAATTACGACTTTATTAACGTCTAACTTTTTGGTGTGTGGGTCCGGTCTTTTGTTGAAGAGGAGGTTAAATTTGGAAATCAGGTTTTCCTTACATTTGGTCGACATAGTAGCAGCTGAAGAGGCAGTCATATTGTCTACATGTTCCCAATCCGATGTGGACATTATTGCCGTCAATGATAACTGTGATTTGTAGAGTGTCTTGTCTAACTGATCTAGTTCTGTGCATATAAGTCTGATTTTTTCAGAGATAAGAGCTAAGCTAGTTTTGAAAAGAATTCGTTTCACATTAGAAGAAGTTACAGCAGCAGAGGTCAGTGTAAATGCGATTGGTATTACCCCAGAGTCGCGGCATCTCTTCAGGAAGGTGAGAGACTCGATCAGCTGAGCTTTCTTATCCCGGAGTTTGTTGAAGGATCTTAAAGTTATGTGAAAACCCTCCCCGTAGAGGCGATTAAATTTTGATTTAAAGCTTTCGTGACTGCAGTAATTCATATTCTTAGTTTTTTCCGTAAAGTCACGTTGAAGAGAAACAACAAAATAATAAAATATATATAAAACAATAAAAATTCTCACGACGTTTCGACCATAACTCAAACGGTCATCTACAGGCGTGTTGGATGTCCTAATTAAAAAGAGACCTGATGGTTCAATGAGCCACTCTGTCTACAGGAAAGCTACCCATACGGATGCTTATCTGAAACCGGATTCCCACCACCATCCATCACAGAATAATTCTCTCATCAAGACTCTGTATCATAGAGCCCAATGCATATCCGACCAGGAACACATAAGCAGTGAACTCAAGCACGTACACCAAGCTCTTAGGGCTAATGGTTACTCCGACTATACAATCCGCAAAGCTATCACTCAAACCATGAAGAAGAACCCTCTTGAGGAGCCTTTCAAAACCATCACTTTACCCTACATTGCTGGGATCACAAAAAAGATCTCCAAAATCTTGAATAAACACAAGATCCAGGTCCGTTTCAACACATTACATAAAATCCGTGATCTGGTTCCGTCTGTAAAAGATGTGATTCCGGACATACAATACCCTGCTGTCTACAAACTAAGTTGTCTCTGTGGTAGTAGTTACATTGGAGAAACCAAACGCCATGTCTCGGACCACATTCGTGAACACAAAGCAGACCTTAAACACGGTAGGACCAACACCTCGGCCGTAGCAGATCATTGTTCTAATTCAGTAGGCTCACATGCCATTGACTTTTCCAAGACAGAGGTTCTTTGTAAGCCATCTGGCTTCCATGAGAGATTCGTTCATGAGGCTATCCACATATACAAGCACAGAGACAATTTCAACCGAGAAGATGGATTCTATCTTAGCAATCATTGGAAAGATTTGATAAACCATTTCAGTTCTTAATTGATTGTTCACGCTTACAGTGGCTTTCAGACAGCATACATTATAAAAAATTTCGTCTCCCCCCTCCTCTTTTCAAAATATAGATGGACTAGTCCTGAGTAAACTGCCAAATCGCTGCGCGTGACGCTAACGTTTTTATAAATAAATAAATGCGCCGTTTAAAAATAAATTTATGCAAACGAACACACCTGAAGATGATCGTTTGAGTTATGGTCGAAACGTCGTGAGAATTTTTATTGTTTTATATATATTTTATTATTTTGTTGTTTCTCTTCAACGTGACTTTACCGAAAAAACTAAGAATATGAATTACTGCAGTCACGAAAGCTTTAAATCAAAATTTAATGGCAATACTATTTAAAATCTCACGATCACAAAAAAATAAAACTCCACGCAGCCTACCCTGAGCGCCAAGCATTATGCACATATTACCAAATCTATATGTATCGTTGCCGTATTAATTAACTGCCTTCCCAACTTCTAAATCCACCGTTTCAAACTCAACCCAATGTCGACCATACGTAGCCAACCGTGCTGTGTGTGTGTGTTGAACTTCTTTTGCACCGTACGTAGCCAACCGTGCTATGTGTGTGTATGTTGAACTTCTTTTGCACCGTACGTAGCCAACCGTGCTGTGTGTGTGTGTTGAACTTATTTCGCACCGTACGTAGCCAACCATGCTATGTATGTTGAACGTCTATCGCACTGTACATAGCCATCCCTGCTGTGTGTGTTGAACGTATTTCACACCGTACGTAGCCAACCATGATATGTACGGTGAAGTTCTTTAGCACCGTACAAAGGCAACCCTGCTGTTTGTGTGTATATATATATTGAACTTATTTCGTACCATACCTAGCCAACCGCGCTATGTATGTTGAACTTCTTTCGCACTCTACCTAGCCAGCGCTGCTCATTGGAAGTGCGGGACGGAAGGCCCACAAACACAATCGACCTTCACCGTCCCGTTGCCCAGATCCTTCGCTCCCCACCCCCCCCCCCACGATCGTCATGGACAACAACTCCACCACCTCCTCGACCTCATCCGCCACCTCCGCGACCTTCGCCCCCGCGTCGCTGCTGGACGACCTCATCTACGTCGACATCGCCTTCCGCGAGCCGCGCGCCCTCATGGCGTGCGCCTTCACCCTCGTCCTCCTCGCCTACGCCCTCGCCGCGGCGGGCAACTCGCTGCTCTGCGTCGTCGTCCTCCTCGACCGCCGCCTCCACCGGCCCCCGTACGCCCTCGCGTGCATCCTGTCGCTCGTCGGAGTCGCCGAGACAACCGTCGCCCTGCCCCGCCTCCTCTACGACCTCTCGAGCCGCACCTCCATCGCCGCGGGGGAGTGCCTCGCCCGCATGTTCGTCTACCACACGCTCGTGCGCGCCCACGCCCTCGTGCTCGTCGCCATGGCCGTCGACCGCTACCTCGCCGTGTGCCACCCTCTGCGCTACCGGGCCCTCGCCGCCGCCGTCGCCGCGTCCGCCCGGGCCTCGGGGGCCGCGTGGGCCGCCGCGGCCGCCGGCGGCTCGGCCGCGGCGATCCAGGGCGCCGGCTACGTCGCCGTGGTCGCGCGCCTCCGGTTCTGCCGGGCGCGCGTCGTGCCCTCGTCCACGTGCGACTTCTCGGCCGTGCGCCGGCTCATGTGCGGCGAGGTGGGCTACGAGGCGCCCGTCGTCTACGCCAACATCCTCCTGGGCACAGCGCTGCCGCTGGGCGCCGTCGCGGCCTCCTACGCGCTCATCCTCCGCGAGTGCCGCGGGCAGAGGCTCCCCGGCGGGCGCCGGAGGGCCCTGAGCACGTGCGTCACGCACCTGCTCCTCGTGCTCGTCTACTTCACGTCGATCTTCTTCACGTTCGCCACGGGCCTCAGGCTGGGCGCGCCCACGTCCGGCGAGGGGGTGACCGCCCTCCAGACCGTCCAGTTCATCCTGCCGCCCGCGCTGAACCCAGTCATCTACGGGCTCAGGACGGCGGAGGTCAGGCGAGGGCTGGCGAGGTTGTTGCCAAGTAAAATTTGGCCTAGCAATTAGGGGCGTGGGGGAGGCAATGTTGGCGGTCGTCGGTTGTTGTTTTATTGTTGTTGTTGTGCAGACTTCCGCCCTCCCCATCAACGTAAAAAATATTAAATGAAACATCGCTTCCTGTTGGTAGGCTCGATGTGAATCACACCGAAGGTTGAGAGGGTTCGTCCGAGCTGGCCACTGACCTTCAGCGTGGCCTGTGAAGAGCACCCATTGGAAATCCGCTTGCGAGTGATTTGAGAGTCGGTGAATTCCAGAGAAACGATGACTATAATAAGTGTTTAGAACAGTGGTTCTTAACCTGGGGTCGTGCAGTGTATAGCATTGTCTCGTGTAGTATATAGCATAGTGTGTATTGTAGTGTAGTGTATATTAGTTTATAGTGTAGTAGATAGTAGTGGGTAGTGTATAGTCATCTAAAGTGTAGTATATGGCATAGTGTGTAGTGTATTGTAGTGTACAGTGTAGTCTATAGTGTAGTGGATAGTAGTGGGTAGTCTATAGTTGTGTAAAGTGTAGAATATGACATAGTGTGTATAGTAGTGTGGAGTGTATAGTAGTGTAAAGTGTAGTGCATAGCAGTGTACAGTGGAGTATAATGTGGAGTGTATAGTGGAATGCGTAGTGTTGTTGTAAAGTAGTGTATAGTGTAGTTTATAGTGTAATGGTTCTTAACCTGGGATGGGGGTCGATGCGAGACATTGCCTGATTTGTTTAGAAAGTAAATCATTGACAACACAAATTAAGCATGGGGCACGTAAGTTACAATTAATTTTGTTTCATATTCTATTTTTATTTCTGTAAAGTCACGTAGATAGAAAAAATAATGATAACAATAAAATAATACAAATGAAAATAAAGTGAATAAAAAAGATAATAAATTACTTGATATATATTTACATTTTTTTATTCACTTTATATTTTTTATTTTATTGTTATATTTATTTCTTTCTACGTCACTTTACCGAAAGATACACAGAATATGAATTCCTGCAGTCACGAAAGCTTTAAGTCAAAATGTATTTTGTTTCATCAATGTCCGTGTGTATTAACATGATAGTTTTTTGTGTGTTACTATTGAGAACCAAATGGGTGCAAGGCTGCAAGTGAAGGTTAAGAACCACTGGGTTAGAAGTTAGAAAGTTCTTACCTTGATTCTTAGCAATTCCTCGCTTCTTCTTTGGTTCTTTCGGTAAAGTCACGTAGAATGAGAATAAAATAATACATTGATAAAATAAAATAACACAATAAAATTCTCACGACGTTTCGGCCACAACACAAGCGGCCTTCATCAGGTGAAGGGACGAGACTGTCTGGAGGACAGCGCTGGAGTGAAAAAGCCACGCTCAGATCGCGACCTTTAAGCTGTGTGAGAAGAAACAAAGCGCCTAGACAAAGGAATTAGCATAGAATTTAGCATTGAAATGGCTGAGTGATTAGCTTGTGACTGGTCACAGAAATGGCTTTGTTAAATTTAAAGCATACACATCCGCAGAGGCACCCCTTGATAAAGGAATTAGCATATAATTTAGCATTGAAATAGCTAAGTTAAAGCATACACATCCGCAGAGGCACCCCTTGACAAAGGAATTAGCATAGAATTTAGCATTGAAATAGCTGAGTGATTAGCTTGTAACTGGTCACAGAAATAGCTATGTTAAAGTCAGAGCATATACATTCACAGAGGCACCTAGTACAAATCAAACAGGAGAATTTAGCATTGAAATAACTAGGCGAATTTAGCATTGAAATAACTGAGTGATTAGCTTGTGACTTGTCTCAGAAATGGCTATGTTGAAGTTAAGGCCTACACATCTGAGCTATTCACAGTAACTGGGTATACACTACAATATAGGATGAATACTATATAGTGAACCAATAAAAAAAACTTAAATATAAATTACCTCAATGTTAACAATAAACTCTATATATTCTCCAATCAACTAAGCTACCAACAATAAGTCGTTATATATCACTATGCTATATGGCGAAAAAATGGGTGGATTCTTACCCTCAACTTTAGCACCACGGATAGCTACGGCCCCGTTCAGACGGACGAGTTCATCCAAGGTCGGAACAGAGAAGGGGGAGAGAGACAGCTGCGAGGCGCTGTTATACTCCATGTTGTAAACCATACCATTAACCGTGGTGTGAGAGGTATTAAGAGTCAATGCCAGTGAAAGAGCTGCGGTCTGAAGGTCATCGTAAAGTACAATTAATTAAGAACGGAAATGGTTTAAAACATCTTTCCAATGGATACTAAGAGAATATTATTGTGTTATTTTATTTTATCAATTTATTAACTTTATTCTCATTCTACGTGACTTTACCGAAAGAACCAAAGAAGATGAATCCTTGCAGTCACGAAAGCTTTAATTCGAAATTCCTCGCTTGTTTGGACCGAATGTAGCAAATGGCCGTTCCGCTACGTTGCCTTGTAACGTCATCACGCCTTGTAACGTCATCACGCCTTGTAACGTCATTACGCCTTGGAACGTCATCACCACAGCACTCACCTCCTCTGTTGTCAGCCATTTTAAAGCATTAAATTAATTTAAAAAAAGATGTGCTTACGTGCGTTGAACTTCTTTCGCACCGTACGTAGCCAACCGTGCTCTATGTATACGTAAGTGTAGTTGTTCTTAACCAGGATAGGCTCGTGACACATGGCACTACCATTACACTCTCTCACACTGCATTGAGTAAGTTGCTAAGTGAGTGAGCAGCTGGCTGGCTGAGTGAGTGAGTGGCTGGCTGAGTGAGTGAGTGGCTGGCTGAGTGAGTGAGTGGATTGCTGAGTGAGTGATTGGCTGTCTGAGTAAGTGAGTGGCTGGCTGATTGAGCGCGTGGCTGGTTGAGAGAGTGTGTGAGTCGCTGAGTGAGTGGGTGGCTACTGGCTTGGTGAGTGAGTGGCTGGCTGAGTGAGTGAGCGGCTGGTTGAGAGAGTGAGTGAGTGGCTGGCTGATTGAGCGAATGGTTGGTTGAGAGAGTGAGTGAGTCGCTGAGTGAGTGTCTGGATGAGTGAATGAGTGTCTGGCTGGTTGGGTGAGTGCAGTGGCCTGGCTCACCAAAATTCATAAGAAAGCAAAAAAAACACAAACTGAAAGAAAATCTGACATAAGTGCAGCCACGAAGCGTCACTGCTTCATGCACCTCGCTCTCCCCTCTCCCCCTCTCTCCATTGTCTCGGTCGTTCCCTGGCTATTCCTGAGCACCGCCCATTTCGGAGAGAGCAGGAGACACGTGGCACCCTCTTGCATCCCTGTGCACCCACCGTCTCCCCCTGGTGCCCCAACCCCAACTCACCCTCCACACTAATTGCTAATTTGCTCCTTGCACAACGAGGTGTTCCCCCTTGGCACCACAACAACAACAACAACCACCACCACTACCACACCTCACAACAACAACCACACCCCACAACAACGACGACGACAACAACCCCCACTCAACAACCCACTCTGAGGTCTTCCCTTGAGATGGTGTGCCGGTACGGGAGGGATGGGGGGGGGGAGGAGGAGGGAGGTGGAGGGAGATGGGAGGCGGGGGCCTTGGTGGTGGGGTGAGGTGGGGGAAGGGATTGGTGGGGGGGGGGGGTAGATTATTGTGGGTGGGGGGGTTGGTGGAGGTGGGTGGAGGTGGGGTCGTGGATTGGTGGGGAGCGGGAGAGGCGGGGGGACCCCACCACGCATAAAAGACGGTACGCTCCGAGTCGCCTGCTGAGAACAAGGACTTCAACAACAAGTGATGAGATCGTCGTCCATCACCATCATCATCATTATTTGTCATCATCGATAGGATTGTTGTTGATGTGATAGAAACTCCGACGTTGCTTTGTTATTTTTTTGAGCTGAGATTATTGCACGTGAGGGGCGACAAACGGGTGAGTTCTAAAGAACGTCGCCACGACCATCATCACCATCATCATCATCATGTCCGGCAGCATCGTGATCATTACCAGAATCGCCATCATCATCACCATCATAACCTGCAACATAATGATCGTCATTAACATCACCATCATTATCATTACCGGCAGCATCATGATCAGCATTATGATTATCACCACCATCATCACCACCAAAGGGAGCGTCATCATCATGTAGATGATGATCAGCAGCAGAATAATTGATATCATTACCATTAAAATCTTAGGCTTCGGGGCAGTGTGCTGGATGAGGTTTGAGTGTCGGGTGTTATGGATTCTGCGAGGTGATATAGCCACGACTACCACCCAATCTGGAGGCAGCTGCACCACCACCACCCCTGTGCTATAGAGCGAGTGAGTGCTGTTTGTATGATCACCCCATGTCCTACAGTGAGTGGAGTTTCTATGATCTCCCCCTGTTCTACAGTGAGAGTGAATGGAGTTTGTGTGGTCTCTCTCTGTTCTACAGAGTGAAAGTGAGTGGAGTTTTTATCATCTCCCCGTGTTCCACAGAGTGAGTGAGTGGAGTTTGTGTGATCTCCCCCTGTTCTACAGAGTGAGTAGAGTTTGTGTGATCTCCCCCTGTTCTACATAGTATGAGTGAGTGAAGTTTGTATGACCTCCCCCTGTCCTACAGAGTGAGAGTGAATGGAGTTTATATGATCTCCCCCTGTTCTACAGTGAGAGTGAATGTAGTTTGTGTGATCTCTCCCTGTTCTTCAGAGTGTAAGTGAGTGGAGTTTGTATGATCTCTCCCTGTTCTACAGAGTGAAAGTGAGTGGAGGTTGTATGATTTCCCCCTGTTCTACAGAGTCAGTGAGTGGAGTTTGTATTATCTCCCCATGTCCTACAGAGTGAGTGGAGTTTGTATGATCTCCCCCTCTTCTACAGAGAGAGAGAGTGAGTGATTGGAGTATGTATGATATCCCCCTGTTCTACAGAGTGAGTGAGTGGAGTTTATATGATCTCCCCCTGTTCTACCGAGTTTGAGTGAGTGAAGTTTGTATGATCTCCCCCTGTTCAACAGAGTTAGTGGAGTTTATTTGATCTCCCCATGCCCTACAGAGTGAGAGTGAGTGAATGGAGTTTGCATGATCTCCCCCTTTTCTACAGAGTGAGTGGAGTTTGTATGATCTCCCCCTGTTCTACAGTGAGAGTGAGTGAGTGTAGTTTGTATAATCTCCCCCTGTCCTACAGAGTGAGAGTGAGTGGAGTTTGTATGATCTCCCCCTGTTTTACAGAGTGAGAGTGAGTGTAGTTTGTATTATCTCCCCCTGTCCTACAGAGTGAGAGTGAGTGGAGTTTATATGATCTCCCCCTGTTCTCCAGAGTGAGAGTGAGTGAGGGGGGTTTGTCTGATCTCCCCCTGTTCTACAGAGTGGGAGTGAGTGGAGTTTGTGTCATCTCCTCATGTCCAACAGAGTGAGAGTTA